CTAAAGTAGACCAAGAGCAGTCACATAAGTTCTCTCTGTTATGCTTCCTTGGAGACTTATTAGAAGTCTTTGTTCCTTTTTTTCCTTTTACTTTAGCAAGTTTCAGGCTTGGCACTTTTCAATGGCATATAGGCTTCTTTATTTCATCTGTATAATTTTTGGGCCAAGTTTCAGTGGTGTATAGTCCTTCAGACAACGTTATACTCTCTACTTACATGATGACTACTGCATTAGTTTTATCAGTTGCTATGTTTGATTTTTTTAATTGGTATTTTGCCTATCTGTATACTTTGCAGAGGCGTCGCCTAATCACTCACGCAAATGCAAAGAGCAAGAGTGAGAAGTTTCCCCCACCACACCAGGACGGAGGACTTGGCGTTCCCTTGGGTGCTTCACATCACATTGATCCGTCCCTTGTCCCTCCGGATGTGCCATTCAGTTCGACCTCATTCACATATTCAAAAGAACCTGTCCAGAATTGGTCAGGCCCTTTAGTAGAGCCTGCTTCAGCTGGTGGAAGGCGGAAGAAGCATACTGCAGGCGATGCCAAAAAGCATTTGTCAAAGAGAAGATGAGAAGCAACCTTGTTTTGGGTAGCAGCAGAGCGAGAGCTTCAGATGAGTGTTTCTATGGCCTATTCTGGAAATAACATTAAAAGTGGGGGGCTGGCCATGGCAACACTTTGAAGCATTTTGTTATTAATGCATCTTCCAGAGAAGGGTTTATAGTAATGCCCAGAGCGAAGCATTGCTTTCCTTTTCCATTTCCAAATATAGAAGGGTCCTTCTGGTTTTTGACTTCTCAATTTGTTGTGGTGGCGTGAAGCTCCCCAGTTACATGTATATTAGTACTACCAGAGTTAATTCTTTGTGATGGTATGTTCGACTTCTGCAGTTGGTAGAAAATTTTACATCTATATTTGACCGGTGTAATTGCATCTCCTCTATCTTACTCATCGACATTTTGTATAATTCTGCTTGTTCATTGATGGTTGAAAAAGGATAACACCTATTATACAGTTCTTACAGCATGAAATGGGAAGATTGATTCTATGATCCATGCCTGTTTGCGCATAAGATTGGTAAAATTTATCACATAGTGAGCCTTGTAAGGTTATTTTTGTCATAGAAATCATTTTCTCAGAAATTTTAGCTGGAATATTTCACTTTTGTGAGATTCCAAATATATACAAATGTTTAGTTGTTTGTGCGTATTCTAGTTTAATTGAGTTGACAGATGATCTATAAAACAACATCAACATAGATCACATTCCGAGTTCAAATTGTTTAGGACTTCTTGAGTCCACTGCTACCCACGTTGAGTCGACTATTGCCTGATAATAATAATTGTTTTTGTTGCAGTACATGTGCATACACCATTCTCTCCGTCCGGTATTGTTTATCATGTTACGCTTTTTGAAAGTCAATTTAACTAATTTTCAAAATTAAATTAGATCAAAATTAGATATTTTAAAACTATATGAAAAGTATTTTAAATTGCAATTTTTTGTATATTAATATGATGAAAAAATTATATATATATATGGGTCATAAGTTCAAATACTCTGAACTTTTAGGGGCAAAACAGATTTCCAGAACTTGCAAGACCCTTCACAAAATTATCTGGCAGTTGAGTCCGCAGGGCTGAAAACTTGAAGATTTTGAGTAAACTATAGATAAACCCTTCTGGAAAAATGGACACTCATTTTCTGGATAGCCATAAACCCCCAAGAAAGCAGAGAGGAATAAACACTTGACTATGCTTGGCGCCTTTCTTCTTTCATGGCTGCCGTTTTCTACAGCCCCAACAACGCTATCCCTTTATCCCTTCTCCCACCTCGACCCTTTAACCTTCATTCACTTTTCACCTGCACTTCAAGCCTAACAACTACCAAGAAAACCAAATGTAAGCACAAACCCTCTTTGTTCCTTCAGAACCCTTCAAAATCTCATCTTGTGCAACCCCCTCAGCAATTTAAGGACTCTAACGGGTCAGTTGATTCTGAAACTAATTGTATTGATTATGCCAATTTGCTTCGGATTTCTGTTAGGTGTGGTGATGTTGAGCTTACCAAGATAATTCATTCTTCACTTGTCAAATTTGAAGAAGAGGATGTTTATTTAAAAAATGCTTTAATTGCAGCTTATATCAAATTGGGTTGCTTGAATCTTGCTGAAAGAGTTTTTGATTCGCTTAGGAGCCCTGATGTTGTCTCATACACTGCAATTATATCAGCTTTTGCCAAGTCGAATCGTGAAAGAGAAGCCTTTGAGCTGTTTCTTGAAATGAAGGATTTAGGTATTGAACCAAATGAATTTACATATGTTGCTATTTTGACTGCTTGTATTCGTTCATTGAATCTTGAGTTGGGGTGTCAAGTACATGGTCTTGTTATCAGATTGGGTTATTCGAGTTATACTTATGTGGTCAATGCACTTATGGGGTTGTATAGTAAGTGTGGCTTGTTGGAGTTTGTTGTTCTCTTGTTTAATGCTATGCCACAAAGGGACATTGTTTCATGGAACACTGTGATTGCTTGTATGGTTGAACACTCCATGTATGATAGAGCATTTGAAATGTATAGTGAGTTATGCAGAAATAAATGCTTGATAGCTGATCATTTTACTCTTTCGACGCTTTTGGCTGCATCTTCTCGCTGTTTGGCGGTGAGAGAAGGGCAAGAACTTCACAGGCATGCTCTTAAACGAGGATTTCATGGCAATTTGAGTGTGAATAATGCACTTATAGGCTTTTACACTAAGTGTGGAACCTTGAAGAATGTAGTGGATGTGTTTGAGAGGATGCCTGTAAAGGATGTCTTTAGTTGGACTGAAATGATTGTGGCATATATGGAATTTGGGCACGTTGATTTGGCGATGGAGATTTTTAACAGTATGCCTGAGAGAAATTCTGTTTCTTATAATGCTCTTTTGGCTGGATTTAGTCAAAATCATGAAGGGTTTAAGGCACTGGCGTTGTTTTGTAGAATGTTGGAGGGAGGAATGGAGTTGACAGATTTTACATTGACCAGTGTTGTTAATGCTTGTGGTTCAGTGATGGAGAGGAAGATAAGCGAACAGATTCATGCGTTTATCCTCAAGTGTGGTTTAAAATCAAATGATCGTATTGAGACGTCATTGATTGATATGTGCACGCGGTGTGGGAGAATGGATGATGCTGAAAAGCTATTTGATGATCTGCCACTTGATCATGATAATTCAATTGCACTGACATCAATGATATGTGCATATGCTAGAAATGGACAACCAGAAGAAGCTATTTCTCTGTTCTTGGTTAGACATTCAGAAAAATCACTAGTTGTTGATGAAGTTGCATTGGCCACTATTCTCGGTGTTTGTGGAACACTAGGGATTCTGAAGTTAGGGGAACAAATCCATTGCTATGCCTGGAAACATGGTTTAATGTCTGATGCCGGTGTTGGGAATGCCATGATCAGCATGTACTCGAAGTGTGGTGAAACGCAAAGTGCAGTTAAGACCTTTGAGGCTATGCCTACACATGATTTAGTATCATGGAATGGTTTATTGACTTGCTATGTCCTTCATAGGCAGGGGGATGGGGCATTGGATACGTGGGCGAAGATGGAGAGATTAGGAGTAGACCCCGATTCTATCACTTGTGTCCTTGTGATATCAGCTTATAGACACACTTCCACAAATTTAGTTGATTGTTGCCAAAAGTTCTTTTCCTCTATGCAATCCTCATATAACGTAAACCCCACCTCGGAGCATTATGCAGGTTTTGTAGGTGTCTTAGGCTATTGGGGTCTGCTCGAAGAAGCAGAAAAGATAATTAATGCAATGCCGTTTGAACCAAAGGCTTCTGTTTGGCATGCTTTGCTTGATGGTTGTAGGTTACATGTGAATGCTATCATTGGAAAAAGGGCCATGAAGAATATACTTTCCATTGTCCCACAGGATCCTTCTACTTTCATACTAAAGTCAAATCTTTACTCAGCATCTGGAAGATGGCAGTGTTCGGAACTTGTTAGGGCGGAGATGAGGGAGAAGGGTATCCAAAAAATACCAGGACGCAGCTGGATCATATTTGGCGACAAGGTTCACTCCTTCTTTGCTAGAGACAAATTGCATTCACAGTCAAAAGACATATACAGTGGCTTACAAATACTTATTTTGGAGTGTCTGAAAGCTGGATATGTACCTGATACAAGTCTTGTGCTTCATGAAGTAGAGGAGCATCAGAAGAAAGACTTCTTGTTCTACCACAGTGCAAAACTATCTGTAACCTTTGGGCTTCTTATGACTAGACCTGGAAAACCTGTTCGCGTTATGAAGAATGTGCTTCTCTGTGGTGACTGCCATACATTCTTCAAATATGTTTCTGTTATCACCAAGAGAGATATACACGTAAGAGACGCTTCAGGTTTTCATCATTTTGTAAATGGTAAATGCTCGTGCGGGGATAATTGGTGCTGAGAAAAGAGATATTTTGATATTTTTAGCTGTAGTCTTACATTGTTGTTTTCAAGATTTTTGTAGCTAATATTTTTAAACCTGTTGTTAGATATACAACAATTAGAATGTATTTACACCATGTAAAGAACTTTTGATCAATCAGTTTAACAAAAATTCTTTTCTCTGGTCTATAAAGTTTGAGAAAAGCACAAGACTTTGCATCTTCCTCTCTGATTTTCATTATATTCTTGTTTTTGAATGCTATTTTTTGGTGACTAAGATAATTCATTGATTATATTACCATGAGGTGCTGGAAATTTATGTACAAGTAGAACAAGGATATATTTGCTTCACTTTTTAAACAAAGGGTATATCTGCTCTAAGTAGTACATTTGAGATATATATATGACGATACTTCACAACTTATTTGAAACTGTAGAACTCGAAATCTAAACAGTGCTTCTTCTTTTATCTCAGAGTATAGCTCTGAGAGTGGACTCCTATTTTCATAATTGTTACAAATATTTCTTTCAAATTAAAGATCACTTGCCACAAGTACTTTAATTAATTACTTCTCATAAATTCCTTTACAACAAGGGTCAATTCCTTCAACTTCATGCCATCAAAATACTCACAACCATGAAATCCTCCTTCACTAAAACAATCCACAACTTGCACACCTTTTGCCTTCAACATCTTTGAAAACTCAATCTGTCGATCGACCAAAGGATCACCATCACAGTCAATGATCAGAATCTTCCAACCTTGTATTTTCACTTGATCAAACAAATTTTCATTTGATCGAATCTCCACCATCGGATTACAATATGGATGATCGCGATCGCTACCAATAGGCAACCCTAGCTCCCACATAATATCACTCACATTAAGGGGCAGCATCTTATCGTGAGCTAATCTTAATTCCGATTTTGTCCTCTCATTTCCACCAAAAAGACTATGATATAAAATTAACCCTTTGATTTCTAAAGGCTTAAGATTTTCACCAACTCCAGCTACACGTAGTCCTACGTTGTACGCTATGTTGCCACCAGAACTAGTGCCCAATAGAAAACACTTTGAAAAATCAGCATATTTTTTCAACAGCTCGTTAGGGGTATTTTTGATCCAATATAACGATTCCACACAATCATCATACGCTGCTGGGAGTCGATTTTCGGGGGCGTATCGGTAATCAACCGATACAATTATTGCTGGAATTTCAACCGCAAGTGTTGCACAAAATTTTTGTAAAATCGGTGTGTTTACAGTAATTGCCATTACAAATCCTCCACCATGAAAATATACTACAAGAGGTAGTTTATTTTCCGAGTTGAGTACTTCACGAGGGATGATAATACGAGCCCACGTGTCTTTCACAGGGTTAATGACAAGATCTTTTATAAAGACAGAGGGATCATGATCAGGAATAGTAGTAAAAAATGGACGAGGTGGGATTTGGAAACGTGTGATAGAGCCATCAGTGTTGAAAATAATTCCCAAGTATCCATAAGGATCAACATTTGGATCAGACATGCCAATAATTTAATTGAATGAACATGGGAAAAATAATGCCTTGAGGTTTTTATTGTAATAGTTTTATACAGACTACTGTAACCAATTTGCTCTTATTTTTCCTTTTAAAAAAATATTCAAGAATCATTTTACGATTTTAAAACATTGACCATTATAGAAATAAATAAAAAAAATCCAAATTCTTATCTTATTGCACGATTTGTGGAGATTTCAACTTTAAAAGAAAAAGACAGTTTCCTAATTTCGACCAGAAAGTTTACTTTATTTAACAAGTTATGATATGTCAAAGAAAATGACAATTCAAAATTAATATTTCAGATCCTTTGCATTCTATATAACTATATATGTGTGTACAGAAGTAGTATATATAATTGACCCAACAATAGAATGCAATGTTTACCTATATCATATATAAGCGTTTGGGTGATAATTATTTTCTATATTTTTATCAAAAATCATTAAATAAGTTATTTTTAGGAAATTAGTTCTAATGGCAAATATATTTCTTCATAATTCCTATATATAGACTTTATCCGGACTATTTTATTTACGGAAAATGGTCAGTATTAAACGATTCGAAAAAATTAAAATATATGTTCATTTATTTATTTAATTAAAAATATCCTCAATTCATCTTTTTGGCCTACTTTTATCATATTTTTTATTTACATTCTCTTTATGAAATTATGTGTTTTAATTCTTATATTTCTTACTTCATATTTTAAATGATTTTATAATCTCTCTTCGATAAAACGAGTTAATGTAAATAATCACAATATTAAAATAAATATTATGTTTGTGCTCTTAACTTGAATTTTGTAATGCTCATTAATCAATTTATTTATTACTCTTAAAAAGATCAACAATACTTAGCAACTTATTCGGAGCTCTAAAACTCAAAACCTAAATAATTCCTCTTCTTTTTCTCCTATTAAAGCTCTTATAGTCATAATTAGTACAAATATAGATCACTTGCCTCAACTGCTTCAATTAAGCTCTTACAAACTCGTTCACAATAAGTGCCATGTCATTTAACTTCACGTCATCAAAAAACTCGCATCCATGAAACCCTCCTTCACTAAAACTATCCACAACTTGCACCCCCTTTTCCTTCAACATCTTCGTGACCTCAATCTGTCGATCAATCAAAGGATCGCCATCACAGTCAATCACCAGAACCCTCCAACCTAGTATTTTCATTTGATCAAATAAGTTTTCATTTGACCGAATCTCCACCATCGGATTACAATACGGATGATCGCGATCGCTACCTATAGGCAACCCTAGCTCCCACATAATGTCACACACATTAAGAGGCAATATCTTATCACGAACTAATCTTAATTCCGATTTCGTCCTTTCATTCCCACCAAAAAATGCATGATGTAAAATCAACCCTTTGATTTCTAAAGGCTTAAGGCATTCACTAACTTCAGCTACACGTAGCCCTACGTTATAGGCTATGTTGCCACCAGCACTAGTGCCCAATAGAAAGCATTTGGACAAATCAGCGTGTTTTTTCAACAGCTCGTTAGGGGTATTTTTGATCCAATATAACGATTCCACGCAATCATCGTAAGCTGCCGGGAGTCGATTTTCCGGAGCGTATCGATAATCGACTGATACAATTATCGCTGGAATTTCGACTGCGAGTGTTGTGTAAAACTTTTGTAAGATTGGTGTGTCTACAGTAACTGCCATTACGAATCCTCCACCGTGAAAATATACTACAAGAGGGAGTTTAATTTCCGAGTTTAGTACTTCACGAGGGGTGACTATACGAGCCCACATGTCTTTAGTGGAATTGATGACAAAATCTTTTATAAAGACGGAGAAATCATTATCAGGAATAGTACTGAAAAATGAACGAGGAATTTGTGGACGTGTGATAGAGTCGTCACTGTTACGAACAATGCCCAAACATCCATAAGGGTCGACATTTGGATCAATTGACATGACAATTTGATCAGACATGGCAGTTAAATCTGGAAACTAACAAACTATAGTATTGGAGGTATGAATATTAGTGGTGTTTAATATTGAGATTTTTATAGCTTCATAGAGTCTTTTAAAAATAAACATTTTTTCTGCATAGAACATTCCACAAATAGCTAGTGAACATCGTACAGCCACGTAGCCTCCTGCGTAAGTAATATCCACTCCTTAGATTTTTCTCATATCAGCCCACACCAAAATATTTTTTGCGGTAATTAATTAATGATAAAAATTTAATTATCATTGAATATATATTTTAATGATATGTTTTATTAATATTAAATCTAATGACAATCAATTAACGGATATTAAATTTAATGTCAATCAATTAATATCAATAAAATTTTTAACATTCTTTATTAATGTATATATTTACTATCATTAAACTATAGTTTGAAGTGTGACATGTAAATTGAGTAAAGCAAAAACACTGATATTATGAATTTCCATTCATGAATAACTTTGTTTTTGTTTGTGAACGAATGTCTAATGATAAACATGATATAAAAAAGTCAAAAATTAAAATTTGAAACGTCATACATTAAAGAAATTTCAATCTTAAAAAATGTCTTATACGTCTTCTCTCGATCCTGAAGAATTAGGTCGTAGCTTCTAGTTTTCTTCCTTTAAATAGTGAAGGTTGCTATTCCTCAAAATTGACCATCTAGAAAGAAATTCTAATCCATTTAATTGCACAAATGGAGATTTCAAAGAAAAGGACAATTACCTCATTTAACTGAAACTAACCATGAGAACTTGCATAAATTAAAAGGAAATTAATCCTTCAACTAGAAAATACGCTTCCAGTGGGTTCTAAGTGTATAAAAATTGTTTTTAATTAAAAATTAATAAAAAAATAAATAAATTAAATTCGTATTATATCAACAAAAATGTCTTTAAAAAGTTACATGATTATTGATGATGATAATAGGCAAATAGTGGTGTTGGTGTTGGTTGATAGTGCTTGTGGGCATTAGTTAGTGGTAACGGTGGTGGTTGACATGGTCAACAATGATAGTTGGTGGTGGATGATATGATTAGCGATATATGGTGATGACTGATGGTGGCGATTTTCAGTAGTGATCGATGATAATTATCCAACGTCATCTGGTTCACAAAGCTAAGTGAAAAAAGAAGAAGAAATAACTCAATATACTAAAGTCTAAACCATGAAGAAATTGATATGATAAACACAAACTCTTTTCTCATTCATATGCAATCACAAATACACAAGTAAACTGTACTATTACATTAGCAATAACATATTTCAGTGCTTTTATTCAAACAGAAAACAACACCACACTCACAAAGAAGAAAGAGAAGATATATATGATATGTTTGATTATCATTGCAGCAGAAACCATCCATCAAAGTCAAGCTAATGTGAAATTTCTGAACATCTTGGCACTTCTCTCTATGGAACAAATGCACCATTGTACTTTTTCACAGCTTCCTTGCTATCAATTGTTCCTGAGAACTTCATCTGAGCTGGTGACACTGGTTTTAAGTGAGCATACTTTTTCCTGGCCTCACTGCTATTAAGGGTTTGTTTTGGTTCCTCTGTATTTTCATATGGAGATGTAAAGGACACATTGCGCTGGATTTGGTCGGGGTAATGGTCTTCCATTTGTGGACTGTAGCGTTCCTTTTGTGGAGAAGAAGGGGTAAATGAGGGGTGGAAACCTTGAGTTTCATGATCAGGGTAGCTTTGTTTCATATCAGGTGTTGAGTGTGATGTTGGAGGGTGTGGTTGTTGCTTAGAAGGAGAGGAAAACAGAGATGTCCAACCTTTTTTCTTCTTTGGGTGACTTTCGTTGTTTTGAGAGGTCGGATTTTCAGTTGATTGTTGTGTAGAAACAGGGGAAAACATAGGGTTTGTATCGTGTGTTCTTTCTGGGTAGCTTTCTTTCCTTTGAGGTGTTGGGTTTGAAGTTGGTGAATGTGATTGTGGTTTATAACCAGTGGAAAACAAAGGCTTCACGCTGTGTTCTTTTTCAGGATAGCTTTCTTCCCTTTGAGGTGTTGGGTTTGAAGTTGGTGAATGTGATTGTGGTTTATAACCAGTGGAAAACAAAGGCTTCACGCTGTGTTCTTTTTCAGGATAGCTTTCTTTCCTTTGAGGTGTTGGGTTTGAAGTTGGTGAATGTGATTGTGGTTTATAACCAGTGGAAAACCAAGGCTTTACGCCGTGTTCTGTTTCAGGATAGCTTTCTTTCCTTTGAGGTGTTGGGTTTGAAGTTGGTGAATGAAATTGTGGTTTATAACCAGAGGAAAACGAAGGCTTTACGCCATGTTCTGTTTCAGGATAGTTCTCTTTCCTTTGAGGTATCGGGTTTGAAGTTGGTGAATGTGATTGTTGTGTATAGCCAGGGGTAAACAGAGGCTTTGTGCCGTGTGCTGTTTCAGGGTAGTTCTCTTTCCTTTGAGGTATCGGGTTTGAAGTTGGTGAATGCGATTGTTGCGTGTAGCCAGGGGAAAACAGAGGCCTTGGTCCCTGATTTGTTTCAGGGTAGTTTGAAGTTGGTGAGTATGGTTGTTTTGTATAAACAGGGTAAGACAGAGGCTTCGTTCCTTTTGTTGGTTCAGGGTAACTTTCTTTCCTTTCGGTTATCGGATTTGACGTTGGATAATAGGATGATTGGGTTGAAACAGGTGAAGCCAGAGGCTTTTCACCTTGAGTTCTCTCAGGGTAACTTTCTTTTATATGTGGAGTTGAGTAAGATGCTGGAAAATGTGATTTTGGTGCATAAGTAGGAGGAGCCAAAGGTTTACTACCTACCCCAAGGATCTTGCCTATATCATTTGTGGCCTGGCTAAGTGGAGCACTAGTTATCTTGTAACCTCCATTGAATTTTGGCTTGCCATAATCATCATGATCTCTCCTGCCATCCCAATCGTCATCAGTTAACCTTGATCTTGGTGGTGAATCCCATGTGTTGTTGACCCCATAGTCCTTCACATGGCCAGCCTTGGGAGAACCCATGGAGTGGCCATAACCATCATTC